TCAAAGCCGATTAACACATTGCTCGTTTTAATCGAATTTCGATTAGGTCTTCACATAGCGTTTTATTTTTGATATTAAATAAATTTAGCGTTTGCTTGTCTTCTTACGATACTATGTAATCTATGTAATGTATCTTATTAGTCATTACTTAATAAATATTATTAGAAAAACAATAATAAATAAATATGAATAATATAGTATTATTAACATGTATTAACCTATTATACCTTGTATGAACAAACATAAAGTTTGTATGTTTTGTTTATAATAATCTAGCTTATGGACAAGGGAAAACGAGAATTACTCTTGACCTGGATTGGTAAATCAGACCAGCTTTATCTGTAGCCTTGAAACGTGACGCGAAAACTGGCTGGCGAGTGAAAGCATTGTTGTGCGTTTGATGCAATGAATGTACAGTGTTCGTACTATTGCAGCTTGAATTCTATGATCTAACCAACACTACAAAGCTATTATAGTGTCAATAGCTATCAAATGGTTTAATTAAAGCTTTCCCTTTAACTTCGGACGCTTGTCAAGTGCTATCGCATAGGTACAGGTGTATAATTCAGATTTTGCATAATTAGTCTTTGAGGCTCGATGTGTTCAAACGAAATAGCTTAACTTTGTAAAGCACTTCGGTCTTGTGTTTTGTTTTGCCTAGTGTCTGATTTGTAAGGTACATTGTTGCGAGAGATGGATTAATGCATCAGGAAAAAAGTAAGTACCTAAGCATTATCAAAATGCAAATCACAACACTATAAGTTGTATTGAAAGGAGACAACTAAAACTATAAATAAGAATAAATTGGAATCGGTAAATATTTTTTAATCTGTTCCTCTATATTTTACCAAACGGTAGATGTAAAGGAGAAGAATAACCAAAAGATAGTAAGAAAGATGTGTTATGCGTAAAAATATGAACGCAGATAAAACGATTGATGGAGATCAGTGGAAAAGAAAAGCATATTGTGTTAACCTCTAATAAATGCATTAAAGTAGTGTATAATGGTCCGTTTATCTATCAGCCGTTTAGTTCTTTTATGCATATCATCTTGATGTTCTCACTATATGACAAACATCAGTAGAACTTCGTTGCGCTTCAACCACCATTATCAGCGCCGCCTTATCAGTCTAATGAATATAGTAAAAGAAATGTACTTTTAATACTGTAAAGTAATTATATGTGTGGGTGTTGTAGGCGTAGATGCGTTACGATGCACTCGTTTGTATTGTAAGTAAACGGGTGTGCATAATGGTTGCACGGTCAAGGTCGTCCGTGGTCGCCGACCTGTTCTGCACGTGGTTGATTGTTTCTGAATACGTCTTTTGTGTGCGTGTGGGCTGTACTAACGTACAAAATAATGCTGTTATGATGTCATAATTATACTATATTGGAAAATTAATATATACATACACATTAGACAAGTTTGGAAAATTGTTCGTATTGGAAGTGCGGGGTTTTAAAAGAAAGAGCAAAAGAGATACAGTATATTGGGACTTCTCTCTCTCAAAATGAATCTACTAAAATATCTTCAATAAACTCCTTTTTTTTTTTTATTTTATTTTAATTTAAAATTTGGAAATTAACTAGCGCAATTTCTAACGCTAGCTAAATACTCAATAATAATAGTGTAGGTTGTGGAACTTGTGATAGTAATAGTGGTGATGAATGTTCGAGTGTTGGCAGTCACATACATACTAACGGTAGCAGAGTTGAACAAAGTATTCTAATCAAATAACCATGTTTATTTATTAACATCTGAGTCCTCAGGAATGGCAACCATGGGCGAAACAGTATACTCTATTATGTCCATGGTACTGCTCATGACTATAGGCGACGGTTACCACTTTCCATCAGGTGGGCCGTCAGCTTGTTTGCCATTCTAAGTTGTATAAAAAAATATTTTTGTTTACTGCTTTGTAAGATGTTCTTTTTTAAGTGACTTCCAGAAGTCGGTTCTCTCAATGCGTTTGATCTTTTGGTGTTATATTTCACGATTACATCATAATTCTTGTTACATTCTATTTTGGCGCTATATTTATTTTTTGTGAAATTTTATTTTGTGTCAAATTACCATTTTTTTCTAAACATAAAACTACTTACTACAAAACAAAATGTACTTGTAGTTTTGAATTCTAATATTTTTAATATAATATATCTACGAAACACTTAGTCCTTTCTTTATGATTGTGTGAGTGTTCACGTTTGAAGTCGCTTTCCTTTGCAGAGTGTATTTGTTACCAGCTCACAAGCGATTTCGAGTTCTTAAGACGAGGTTTTACCTCCTTTCGTGTGTTCTACCGAATGCGTAACGGATTGTCTTAAAGAATTTTTTAAAAGGATTTGAATGACCACCTTTATTATCGCACTACTTTTTATCGATATAGAATGCATTCTCAGAACCTAAAAATTAAATGGACGTATCAGTTTCCGAATAGTTTTTATTTTATGCAATTTAGAATAGGGAACAAGTTGATAACCCATCTCATAGAAAGTGGTGACGGTCATTTGCAGACATTACCAGTGTCTTGGATATCACGAAATACTCTGTGACGTCCTATGGCACCCCTTCTGTATTGCTATTCTCGAAGACTGGTGTTATGTCTCCGTGCCCTGTAATTTTATTGTCCTTCAAACCAAAACACAGTCATTTAAGCATAGTTGCTTCTCTGCATAAAAATGAATGGGACACAGGTTCACAAGAGGAGATGACTTTAATATATCACAGCAAGCGTTTCTTTCAAAAGTACGTTTATTTAAATATTTTTAAGGGATTCTAATTTGCGTGTGACACTCCTGTTTTGCAGGTGTTTATAGGTTTCTGTAAGCTTGTTTGTCAACTTTGTAGTGACAACGTAATACACACGCACACACACACATACACACATGTATATATAGGTATGCTAGTTTTGTAATCTAGAACGTCAAAAGTTCTATTATTAAAACAGATTTAGTGACAATCGAGTAGTAATCGTTAGATTTTTCGTCGAAATTGTCGTAAAAGGTTTAAATAAGTTAATTAGAATGGCCGTATTAGCGTTTCGGAGTCACGGCCAAGGGCAAAGAGTTTAGTGAACAGTGATTAATCGAGTAGCCTGTTTGAAACATAACAATTAGAGCCTTTCGAACAATTACTTGTTCTTATTTGAATAAGTAAAACTTTTTTTCAACTTTTATTCAATGTTCTTTTTAAGTGTACCTGAAATGTTATTTCAAATATATTGATGCTCGGGACTTTATTGGATTTTCATTTCTTTTATTAGAAATAAGAAATTATTGTTATTAACAATTCCTCCCTCCTTCCGAACTTCTTGACTGGTATGTTAGAAGTAAAAATGCCCTTGTCTTTTAGGAGTGACACGTATTTAGCAATACGACCTTAATTAAAGTGTTGTTATGGCATAATGTATGTATATAAATAAATAACATACATCGTTACCGTTGTTTGTATATTATTATAGCTAACAGAGATATAGGATAGAGATTAGGGCGACAATTATCGTTAACATCTAATATCCATGAAATCGGTAATAATCTTGATTAAAATATATTTTATTAATTTAAAAATAATCTGTAATAAGCGTATAAATAAACTAGAGCAAATATTGTATTTTAAAATATGCTATAATATTTTTAATTGAGTTTTCTATAAAGTTCATGAACATAATAGAAATATGACAGTTCATGATATCGATATTGATAGTAGTACTAATCCTACATGTATTAATATTATAAATATGAAAGTTTGTAAAGATTTTTATATGTTTGTTACTCAATCAACAATACTTAAACGGTTGATGGATTTGAATGGCATTTTGTATGATTGGCATGGTAGATTGTGTCCTAACATGTAGAATACTTTATACAAGTGACTATATAATGTCTTAACTAGTAATATAATGAAATCTTTGATGTATATTGTTCTTCAATGTTTGAACAGACCATAGATTTATTTATTTACTATTTTAAAGACTAATGAGAGAGAAAAATTTGCCAAAATTAGTACTCGTACTTACCAAGAATCCTATGGTGTTGTCCTTAACTAGCGAAAGCAAATCCTAAGTTAAATTAACAAAGTTTCGTCTTGCGATGAAGCCAATATACTTCGTCCATCATCATTCTTGTTCTTCGTTATTTAAATATTTTCAAAAACGAATGACGACGATAGTGTCTCTTTTTGTACCGTTTATGTATTACGTGTTTGGCCCCAGTTTCTTGGCGAAGTCACGGTGAGTTTGAAAGGAGCTCTGGATCCAATGAACGCCATTCATATCTGTCTTGAAAAGCAGGAATCCAAAATTCTATAGGTGAATCAAAATAAAAGATGTCAATTAGTAAAAACTTGTTTGCGTATATAGTAATATTTTCTTCCTAAGAGTAGGGATCTTGAAAAAAGGAAAGATTAATGTTTCTTGACTTTTCCCAAGTATGTATTAAATATACTTTGTATAATTTTCTACTGAAATAAATAAGATACAGTGTAATAAATCTATTAATGCTAGTGAGAATAGACTCTAAATGGAATTTTGAGTTCTCGTCGATGAAACAACTTCTATTATTCTGTAAATTTTAAACTTAAATGTATCTTCCATAATGCAAACAAATATACAAATATTTTGTAAAAAATATTGTGTATTCATAATGTATTATGAATACACAATATTTTTTACAAAATATTTGTATATTTGTAAATGTGGACGGTGTTTGGATCTTTAGAAGTTTGAATGAGATTGATTAGATGTTACTGAATGACTCATAAATAGGTGAATACATTTGAATCAAATTTTATACACAGTCGAACCATTCTGGACTGACACAAGGTAATTTGCAGCTAGTAAATTTGGAATAACAAGATATTTAAAGCGGACCCCGATGATCTCGTTTACAACCCTTATATTATCCGGTTTCGAATATGTGACACATTTTTCCTTCAAAAATTAAGATAATTAAAATTATCCCTTTCTAAAAAATAACTCACTCTTATGTTTTTGACGATACAGGGATACGAAAGGGGCGGGTCACCTCAACCTCCTACCCAACCGCCTCGCGCTCCTAGCCCAGGTCCAGGAGGGCAAAGCGCCCCAGGCGCGCTTTCACCTAACCAAGATACACAGCATCCGCCGCACTTGCCTCCGCACGGGACGCAACCGCCACTACAACATCAGGTAAATTTATCTTAAAACTTCAGAAGTCTCAATGCCGTTCTTGTATGTTCTGGAATACATGGTGTTACAAGTGTCCGCAGGCTACCGTAGTTGTTTATTATTTGGCGAGCCGTATGCTTCTTAGTAACTGGCGTAATATAAAAATGTTAAATTATTAAATAGCGATCCGTTTTCTATTTATTTTTGTAACTTATTTTTAATTTATTTAGTTTAATAATCGAATGGATATAAATAACCAAATAGTAATATATTTCAAGATTTTGACTCATATCTTAAGAAGTTCCATTGATCTCGTATTCAGACCTTGACCTTAACTATCTTAGGAAAACACTTACATAATTGATATGCTCTAGGCCTCATTTATTTGATTATAGCTGTCATAATTTTCACTATTATAGTATCTATATTTTTTAATACGATTGAGTCAACACTGACCCACTGACACAAATAATGGAGTAGTTAGTTAACTGCTGTCATTATGGTGAATGTAACACTTGATATGCACACCTTTCTCCGTACATACTAGAATCCATCACGTCAGGGACGAGTCTACCACCACACAATCGTGCACTAGCTGTTAATATCGATTGTCTAACTCTAAAGACTATCCAAAAGTTACGTCTTGAAGAAAGCGCACTGAAAAATTTTCCTACAACATTTCGTTTACGTTGCAGAATTCTGCCGTCGGATAATTAAAAACAGAATACGTTACGTTTTATGTGAACTTATAAAAAAAAAAAATAAGGCCATAAGTTTTTTCAATGAAAATTCGCCCTAAGTTTGTTATTTTTTGACACAACTAAAAGAGATATCAAAATATCTTTTTCTGTTATGAAGCCGACTTTTTGAGAATTTTGTTCAGTGTTCACGTTTCATGCCAAATATATTTCTGAAGCTAGCTACATTTTGCAATTGATTCGAATTATACAAAAGTGCACCCTTCCTAACACTGCCAAAGCTCATTGCGGTTACCAATCCGCCTGCCAAGCGTGGCAACTACTGCCAAAAACTCCAATAGGAGGAGGCCTATGTTTACCAGTGGGCAGTTAATGGCTGATATGAATAGTGAAAAGTGCAGTAACGATTCTGCGCCATAATCGTATTTATGTTAGATAATTCCTAGTTAGTAGATAGTTCCTAATTAATTTTGGAAAATTAAAAATGGATAAACATGCAATAGAACAAGCTGTTTTTAGAATTGTTATCAGCCTGTCGAGTAAGTATTTAGCGCAACAAAAATCTGGATTATTAATATTATTAGATTTAGTCAAGGTAATCATTTGATGTACCGTCTTCAGCTCTTCATTACATGAGTCATGTGATATGTAGACGATTTTGCTTCTTTAGATTTATGTACAAAAAACATCACGATCTTGTTGGATTATAATATTAGGAATATTACAAATTAGGAATATTATTATAACTGACACTGAAAATGTTGTATTGTCCTCTACTAGGTCTATTTTTTTAGAATAAAAACTTCTATCCTCAAAATTAATAAAGTAATAAATTGCAGACAAACTGCAATGCAGTTTCGCGGCACTAAGAATATGTATTGTCTGTGTAACTGTTTACTAGAAATAAATTAAAAAAATATCCATTATATTCAAACTTAACACGTAGTATACTATATATAATGAAACGCGTGGCCAAAGTCCTGTAAAACTATGTATTATATCGTATGTTTTTATGTTAATTTTGACTAGCACATGAACTAATTATAAGCCACAGCTATTAATAAGATGAGAGTATTTGTTTTGGCAAATAATGATGTCTACCAAGTTTTTATTCCTGTGATTAATATCATTATATACTTGAATATTTATACAAATGAAGGTATATTACCACAGCACAAACAGGAAATGGGAAAGAGACCGTGAAGTATGAAACAAGTTTAATAATTAATGTGAGCCATTCCGTTTACTCTCGAAGTCGACTCAGTATTTTTATATCTGTTTATAGCAATTACAGATACTGGAAAAAAAAAACGAGTATTTTTCTTAATTTCTACAATATATCGTTACTTTTATCATCCGAAAACTATTATAATTTATTGTCACGTGGTTTTATAACTAAACGAATAAATATATCTTTTCCTAGAAGATGCCCCTTTAAACAAAAGAGTAATAATAATAAATGCAATAACACAATAAATACAATTATAAATAAATTTGGATTGATCTGAGGCGCTATTTCTCTTAATATTTTAGTTTGGTAGTTACGTGAAATTATTCTTATAAAAGAATGAATAATAAATAGGTTTATAAAAACCATCATAAATTAATTTATAATAATTTGGATTTAAATGTATTATAAAGTTAGTTCATATTGGTTCTTTGACTATATTTTCACTGTAATATCAAATAGAAATTTTATTTTTAGAGATAGGTATAGAGAGATGGCGCCGTTATCTAAACGTCTTTTTTTATCATATTATTTTTGCAGCATATATGTTAACCTTTATATACAAATCCTATATATATATATATTTCATTCGGGTTCTTAAAGTTAACTGAAAGAAATCCCTTTAAGGGATAAGTCCGCCTGTGTATATTTCTGTTACTACCTAATATCTATATTAAAAAAGAATGTACAAAGGCATATAAATAAAGAAAATAAATCTCCCTGCTATTATCGTTCACATATTTATTTAAAAGTTATGTAAAATTCTGATGCTCGAACTAATATCTTAAAAGTTATGGTAGCTATATATGCGAAACTTATTACAAGTAACGTGTAAGTACGTGAGTGAGTCGACTCCATGTTTGCATTTCGTTTATCGCGACGATATCGTCGTCAGTGGCGGAAATTTTCGATAATTTCGTCGGCGTCGACTGCTCGTGCCAGCCTTGCGTTTGAGATAGCTCCCAAACCACAAGATAAACGGCCACTGGATAGCGAAGGAGTATTTTATTTTGCCGTACGGGCAATGTAGGCCGCCACATGGTTCAGTTATATCGGGGGACTTATCGTTTGCTATAATTTCTTAATCAGCGTGTTTTCGAGGATCGGAATTGGTAATTGAAAATCATAAATATATTTATATACCAGAGGGAGACTTTGTACAAAAGTCGATTGCTTGGGTACCTCTGTCCCATTCGTGTTTCAACGGTGAAGCAGTTGTGTTTGCATGGCTGTGTTTCGGTTTGAAGGGTGGGATATGGCGTGAATTTACTAGGTACAGAGGAATAATACCTAAATCCTCAGGAATGGCAACACATGGGAGGCATATCATGGGCGAAACAGTATACATACTCTGTTATGTCCATGGTACTGCTCATGTCTATAGGCGACGGTTACCACTTTCCATCAGCTTGTTTGCCATTCTATGTTGTATAAAAAAAAAATTCGTGAATACAATTTGTGTTTTTTTTGTTTTGTACTACCAATCACCAATTGAGGGAAAATACTACATTTTGGTTACCAAAAACTAATGTTTTTAAATACCATATTGCAGTAGTTAGATAATGTGTTTGTATTTAATATTGTACTTGAGGTTCATCAACTGTGTTTTAAGTTGGAAAACAAATTGCTCATCGTAAATCTCACCTGGATAAATTAATGAAACAGCTATAAAATAGTTTATCAAAGCAAGCATTAAAAAAAATCAAACGCTTGCTTTACTCACGCTAGAAGTTGGATAGTGCACGTCAGCGCCAGTAGAGATACGAATCTCTATTGCTTAACGAAATTGAACCCACTCTATATGGAAAGTATAGTAATTCACGAAACTCATAGAATGGAACTTTGGCTATGAACTTTACTGTTATTACTCCACATTAAACGCTGCCAAATGTTCGAAACCCTCGTAGTTAGCAATTTTTAAAAATTACCTTCACAACCATAACTATTCAATAAACTGTCTATGGACATACCCGTCCTAATGGACAACTTTTACTTTCATTTTGTTTTTCTGGTTTGGTTTTGTTTTTGTTTATAATGATAATGATAATTTTGTTTATAATGATAATATATAGTATACTTGGTTTTGATATTTATATCATTTTATTATTAAAGGAATCTTACACATATCTTCTATTTTTTGTTGTATATAGTTATTTTTTAGGTGTAGTTCATAATAGCATAAAATAACACGAGTAATCGTATGACAGACATACGATACATTTATGTAAAACACTTAGTAATTCATTAAATATAAACTGTTTATTTATTTACCTCTTTATTACACTTAAGACATACAAGTATACAATGACAATTAAAAAAATCAATTAAAATACATTAGAATAAAGTACAGGTCAAAATAGAAACATAAATAAATAGGTACTAAATACGGTCATATTGTTAAGGCAATCTCTTACAGACAACCTTTGGTTAGGAACATATAGAAAAGGGTACGTGATGCAGGGGTGAATTAATAATTTTTACATGCATAAAATACAATACCTATAGTACATAAAACTATCAAATACATGTTATGTACTAAACTACATATTCTAACAATTAATATATATATATATATATATATATATATATATATATATATATATATACACACACACACACACACACACACACACACACATGTACATATAAGCATAACACAAGGAAATATTATGTGACGAATCCAGTGAAACGTTACAGAAGAAAGGATCTTTTGTTGATATATATCACTTGATTTGATTGTCTTTGAAATATGAAAATCACATTCCAATTTATATTTCTAAAAGACGCATGAGTACTATCTATGAAAACCGCACAGTTAATTTTAAACTTTCGGGTTGTTTACACATATTTTAAATACACAATCGGGACTTCATTTTTTTTTTTTTTACAACACAGGGGCCAAACGAGCATGCGGCTCACCTGATGGTAAGTGACTACCGCCGCCCATGATCACCCACAACACCTACGGCATTGCAGGTGTGCTGCCGGCCTTTTAAAAAGGAATATGCTCTTTTCTTGAAGGTTATGTTGTCGTATCGGTTCGGAAATACTGCTGCTGGAAGTTGATTCCAAAGAGTGGTTGTGCGTGGGAGAAA